TTCCTTGGGAAAACGACACCCAACATTCCCAGTCTGTCAATGTGTGACTTCATCTTCAGGATGTGTACACACATAGAACTTCCATTTTGGTGTTTACATGCCAATAGGGCTTGAGTGATCTTGAACTGTTCAAGTGGATGAAAACGTGGATCAGGGAGAATCATTGGAGGAGGTGGAGGAAGTGAAGTATGATTTCGAGTTCCATCAAAGCATGAGGAAGGGAATGATCTTTCACCTTGATCATAAAGGAAAGTTGTTTTCAAGGGATTGAAGAAGACCATTGTTTTCGGAACTAGGCATCTAGAAATAGGAAAAATTCAAGTGAGTTGATTTAATCCTTAATATAACACCGAAATGAAATATTAAGGCTAGGACCCAACACAATAATTTAAAATTCAGAAGAGGGATGTCATAATCTAACTGTAAATTATTATGAAGGTAGGTAAATGATGATTTACGAATTCCACCACGAAAAATGAAATTTAAATAAATTAGGTTTTATTAAATGAAATTCCTAGATCTTTAGGATTCGTTAACCTCTTAAATGACATGTTTAATCTCGATTATGCCCTTCAAGTTTGTGACTGGGATACTGCGGATCACAAACAAGGTGTGAATAACCATGGAAATTAACTTAGTACTATCAATGTCATTTACCACCTAATCAATGTGCTGGTTAACCACAAACGCTCCATTGATCAATGATAATTTACAAGCTACCCATTACCACTCTTTGTTAGTCCAGATTAGTGTTCCGGTTAACCACATACGCTCCACTGACGACTTGACAAAGTTCAACATGCAATTTCATGGAATAGCATCAAATTCATATTTTCCTAAAGTAACTAAGATTGAGAATTTATAAAACATTTAGTTACTTTATATTTATCATTATACTTATTAATGAGAGGATTAATGTCCTATCCTACCCGTTCAACTAACGACCCTCCACTAGTCAAGAGTTCGGTGGGTAAGAGTGGATACCCAATGACAGTCATTTTACATGTCGCTTAATTAAACACCCGTTATAGACCGACTTCGTGAATGTGGCCTACTAACGGTAAGACCGATTTTTCTTATGCATATATAATATTATACTTTTAATTAATTATATACATACATACATATATATATATATATATATATATATATATATATATATATATACACACACATATATATACATATATATATATATACATATATATATATATATACATATATATATATATATACATATATATATATATATACATATATATATATATACATATATATATATATATATATATATATATATATATATATCATAAGGGTGTATTTTAAACATTTCAGAATACTAGGGTTTTTAATCTAATTTAAAATTTTCGAAATTAATACCTTTTAATTTAAAATCTTAAATATTAAAAACCTTGATTTAATAATTATCCAAAATTAAAAACTTAATTTAAATTATTAAATCTCATAAGGATTATCCATTAAGAATAAATAATTTTACCTAACCCCTTTATCCCTTAGATTTCGAAATTTTGGGAAGGGATATTTCAAAATCTATCAATTATCCATTTAAACAATTAAAAGATAATACCTACCTAAAACCATAGATTTTTGAAATTTAATCTTGGGGAAGCCATTTTCGAAAATTCTAGGGTTAGCAAACCTTAAAAATCAAAATCATGAGGGTCAAACAAAAGTGTTCAAAAACCCTAATCAAATTTCGAACCTACGGTTTTAAAACCCTAATTTTGAGAAATCCAAGCCCTTGGGTTTATGTCACACCCCCGAACCAAACGGCGGAAACGTCCGAGGGTTGTCGTGACTTAATTGAATACCATAACATTGAATATATATGAAACATAACATCATTCATCACCATGCATTAATATAGTACAATCATTCATCACCATGCATTAGTATAGTACAACTGGTAGAGTTTACACTGAGTACATTGTTTTAATATTACATTCTCAAAAATAAATTGTTCGATCATAGATAAACAAACTGCAAGCCATCACTGAATACATTTCCTTCGGTTTACTTGTTACCTGAGAATACAAGTATTTTGAAAAACGTCAACATATGACATGTTGGTGAGTTCATAAGCGGTATTTGAAAAGCAACGTTTTGTATTGTTTTGAAAACTACCAGAAAATTCGATATTTTCTGAAAAGAGTTTATGAAAAAGTTTGTGAAGATCCATAAGTATGCTTGTTTGTTTCTATAGTTGTAAAAAGTGTTCATTAAACTAGTGTACATTTCGAAACTGTATGTATTAAAAAAAACCCTAGGAAAACCCAATGTTTTCCTAACACTTTGAATTCCATGTAGTTGTTGTACCATCCTCAACATCCACCGTCCAAAAGTGAAACCCTAACTTAGTGTATGTATATGTGTTTATTCTTGGTATTTCAAGGTCTTGAGTGCTCTTAGATGAAGGATATTGTTGCTTGAAGAGTGGTATGGAGTCCAAATCTTGCATCTCTTGTTTCCTTTGGGGCTTTCGAAGGTATAAATGTTCCACCTTTCTTGCTTTTTGATTTATAATACATGCTTTAAGCTCCCTTTTAGTCCTTTATATGAATGTTCTTAGAGTTTTGGGCAACTCTAGAACCTTGGGTGTGGTTGATGGTCATTTTTGGACTTGTTTCAGTAGAAATGGGACATGCATTGGTTTCTTTGAAGTCATACATAAGATCTTGGCATTTTTATTCCCAAATAGAACTAGGTTTTGAGATCTTGGTTTATGGAGTAAAGAAAGTGGATAAAGTTGGAAACTTTATCCATATGGAGCTTTAGTCAATTTAGATGTGAGCCTTAGAGCTCTAGATGTTAAGGATTAAATTCTTAATGGATTAAGTTATTATGGCGATTCATCATGATACAGTGGATAGAGGACCATAATGCGGGCCGCGAGTCCTAATCGTGACTATTTTGTCATTTAGTGACTACGTCACGGCCAAGGGTTAACTATTGACCTTGACCATTGACTTGTTGAATAGTTTTAGTTTTATTAAAACTTAGGAGCTGAGTAGTGGAGTGAGATTAGACCTCTGTATGGTTTAGGTAGCATATATAGATGATTTGGTGCGACCATGACGATTGTTGTATCAACTCTTGATTCATGTGAGTCTTCTCACTATATTGTAGGACACTATGTGTCATATTATGCTAGTTGTCTTTTTTGATACTTGCATGTTTGTTTATATGCATGTTAGGCTAGGACCATTTATATTTTTAGTGGGTTGGGTCCCAGTGTATGTATATTAGGTTGGGCCCGTATGAATGAAACATAATTGTTGGGGCTAGGCCTGTTATTAAATGTTATGTGGTATTTTGGGGAAATTACTAAGATTTGTGCTTAGGTTTCAAGTTTAAATGTTTTAGGTACTTCTGGTAGCAAAATAAAGAACACAACCTGATTGTATCGCATCTATTGGAGATTTTCCGCATTTATGCATGGATTTTATGTTATTTACTATGATATTCGATTTTAAGAATTAAAACTTAACCTTTTGTTGCCTTTTGTGATATAATGATGTCATTGCATTATTATGATTAAAAATACAAAATTTTACTCCATTTTTGGGGACGTTACAGTCGATAAAACTGTTCGTTCAATCAAAACCCTAGAGTTTTGCGAGACGAGCGCCAAATTATTATTTGAGGCCCAAACTACCACTAGCTTCTTTAAAACACAGGTTTGTTTCAGTTTTTACTCCCATCAATGACGCTTCTCTCATGCAGCTATGGTTAAGGGGTTTCGATTGTGTGTTGCTTATAATACATATACAAATTAGGATTTCGACCATCTTTCAAATACAATGAGGGATTTGGGTGTTTCGATTATGTTGCTTCAAGTTGCTTCACGGTTGCTCAACGGGGCAGTGAAGAAAGGGTTAGAGAAACGTTTGTTGTTGTTCTTTTGGTATAATATTTAATCACCATAGAAGATTGGTGGGTAGAAATGAAATGAACAAGAAGAAGGGTGGATTGTTATGGTGCTAGAGATAGAATACGAGAAAAGGTGTCGTAAAAAGAGGAGAATGGTGGGGGTGTGTGGGGGGAGGGGAGGGGAGGGTCGCATGAAGTTATACACAGTGGTGGATGTGATGGTGTTGGTTTTTGGAAGCGATTGTGGTATCACCGGTGATATAAGAGAAAAGAGAGAGGTTATCATATCTTTTGATTTTCAAAGAAGAACGTAAAGTGATCATCTTTGAAATTGGAATGAGACAATATATATATATATATATATATATATATATATATATATATATATATAATTAAAATATAAAACCAATGATAAAAAAGAAAAAAATATGTTGAGAAGGGTATAACAATCATTTTATGTCTATTAAGAATGAAATAGGAAAAAATCTGAATCATAGGACTGTTTAAATTTAAATAAAAGACTTATGGACTAGGCATGCAAATTACCGAGAACACGGGGACGATTCATGTAATTGACCCTTGATTTTGTGATATGTAATATATTTCAATTCATTATTGATGCGTAAGCAAGCTATGCAGAGTTCAACCTTAAATACATGATAAACCTAATTAGATTGCTTTATACATGCACATCGGCATATTTTTAAGCTCCTAAACCGGGGAAAATCTGATGACCTACAAGTTTCTGAATTTTGATCTACATGCTTCTAACGTATTCTCTGTCCTCTTATCTTCAAATAAATTTTATTAAAATATTTTTATTAAGTTAAATGAGCTTTTAATTAGTTTGTGTTTATAGTTGAAAAAGTAGTTTCATTTGCTCTTAACAATTTCTAATTCTAAGTTGTAAAATTATAATTAGTCGATGTAATTTGTGAGTTACTAGGTGTCTTAATCAACGTACATGTCACATTATTATAAATAAACCATTGTATTGTATAAAAAGCAAGCAATCCCAAACTTGTTATATAATTTTCATTGCAAATTAATCATTGAAAATTGTCATAAAACGTACTCTATAAGTATTTTAGTGTTCTTATATTTTAATAAATACATTAAATTAGTTTGCAGCAAAACCAAACACGTGATTATCATAAAATCAGTTGAATTATACTCTATTACTACATAAAGGATGAATGTGAAATTCTAAAACCATTTGTGTTGTAAACAGTCATGTCATATTATTAATTTTTACTAATTTTTAAACTAAAAATAAACTATTTAGTTGACTTCAATTTTGAAACAATATATAAGGACACTAACTAGCTAGACTGACATATTTATATATATCTGGAAACTGAAAAAAAAATGAGGAAAGATAAAACGATATTTGTGATTCTTCATATTGTCAACACAATATTCATAAAAATGGTGAGCAGCAACAAAACGGTAAATCAGATTAAGGCAATGTATGTGTTGGGTGATTCTTCTGTTGATTGTGGAGAAAACACACTCTTTTTCCCATTTCTCCTTAACAATCTCTCTTTACACCCTTGTGATGGTCCTCCTTCTGCCATTCTTCCTCATCTTCTTGGTAATTGCATGCAGCTCTGCTTTTTAATCAGTTAATGTATTTTCTTGAATAGGAATTCTCAATTCACCATGCTCTTGATTTCCATTGATGTAGCAAAGAAGATCGGATTGCCATATCCAATACCTTTCTATAGCCAGAACGGATCGACGGAGGTGCTCCTCCGTGGGGTGAATCTAGGGTCAACCGGAGCCACCATCATGAGCAACCCAACCAACTCAGTCCTCCAGTCCCTCAACCAGCAGCTTCGCCAAGCATTTGAGATTTTTCAGCTACTACAACTGGAACTTGGCCAAGAAACTGCTACTAACTTCATCGAATCCTCCACCCTTTTCTACCTCTCTTTTGGCAAAGACGACTACATTGATATCTTCCGCAGCAAGTCCGCTAAGAGTCCAGGATCAAATGAAACGCAGCTGTCACGTATTTTGGTGGATCAAATGACTAACGCAATCCAGTATCTGTATGGTTCAAGTGTGAGGAAGTTTGTATTTATGGGGATACTGCCTTTAGGATGTGCACCTAGGTTTTCTCAATGGACGAATAATGCAGTGAGTGGTGGTGGTCACAGTGGAGATAGGGTGGTTTGTGCAGATGAGATCAACAATCTTATATTGGAGTATAATGCTTTTCTGGAAAACCGTATTATAAGCCTTAATGTTGAATTAGCCGATGCACAGTTGATTTTTTGTGACGTTTATCGCATGATGATGGAGATCATAAAAAACCCAAACGCATATGGTATGTGATTGAAATATATGTCCTCTTTTTCTTTTCTGAAAATTTGAATCTTCAAATGTCAAATTTTTTTGCTCAACTCTTGGTTAAACTTCGTTTTAAATATTTACAACAAAACGGTAAAATCTTTTATATTTTCTGATACAGGTAAATACATCTGATATGCATTAATTCTGTTAAATTTTACAGGATTTGAGAATGTGAATAGTGCATGTTGTGGGATAGGCATGGATAATGGGATGAGCGGCTGCATGTCCATGAACATGGTTTGCAAAAACCCTTCAACCTATGTTTGGTGGGATCTATTCAACCCTGGGCGTGTAGTCAGCTCATTGCTTGCTGACTCAGCCTGGTCTGGCCAATTATTGCCCGACATTTGTCGCCCTACCACTCTCCAGAAGCTGGTATCTTCTTGAGTCACATCTGAACTAAGTGACTCCAGTTTACAATGAAAGGGGAAAAGGAATGTTCTGCCGTTATACCATTGACTCGCTTTAATGTTTTCTAGTAATTTGGTTCTATCTTCATTCTTTGTATCATTTATATTAAGGGAACCTATGTACTAAAAAATATTCCTTTACCAGGTATGAAAGTCAAGTAAGATCGAGTTTTGAATCGGTATCCAAAAAACTAAGATAAGATATTCGCGCAAAAGAAATTGTTGGTAAATTAAAGCATGTGGGTGATTGTCTAGACATAGTGACGCATTACTGATATATTTTTCCGCCAATCGATAACATCTTTTGTGACTAATTTCCAACATATTGATTCAGTGAAATATTTCCAACAAATATTTTTAGTCTTAGAGTTCTTACAGATCAATTTTCTGATAGATTACGCCAGATTTATTAACTTTATTAATGATAAACTTCTATCACTATAATTTGTTAGGATGAAAGGAACTGTACCCTTAACACAATTAATGTCATATTATTTTTTTGTTGCCACTTTATGTTTTTTTGGTTGTTAGGTTAATTCTTGTTTACAACGGTTGGAGGCTCATTTGAATAAAGCTTAAATAGTCCTCTTAAGACCATGTCTTTAGGAGAATAAAGTGGCATGTGGTCACACCTGCTAAAGCATCGGTGGATGCAAGTTTCCCGGAAGTATTGTTAGTAGTTAGAAGTATTTATTATCAATGAAAAATACAGAAACAGATTGTGTTCTAAATTCTCTCTTTCCCATTTATAATTCACAGTATGTTGTGTGTTTGTTTGTGTTGTGAATCTTCAAGATCCTATAAGCTCTATTCCAACAGTTGGTATCAGAGCTTTCAGGTTCACAATCAGAGCTTGGTCTGAGCTTTACTAATGGCACTCATACAATCAAAAGAGAACGGGAATGGAGGTGTACCACTCCAATACCCGATGCTGTCACCCACAAACTACACAACATGGGCAATAAAGATGGAGGCGATAATGGATGCGCAGGGTGTATGGGAATCCATCGAGCAGCGAGTTGGCGTGGCTGTTGATGAAAGGAAAAGCAAGAAGGCTCGAGCATTCATATTCTAGGCATTACCCGATGACGTGATTCTTCAAGTTGCGCAGAAGAAAACGGCAAAAGAAGTATGGGACTCGTTGAAGACTCGCTACTTGGGTGCCGATTGGGTTCAGAAGGCAAGAAAGCATGCACTCAAGAGTGAGTTTGATTCTTTAAGAATGAAGGAAGGAGAAACGATCGATGAATTTGCAAGAAAATTAAGTGGCATGGGATAAGTTCCAGTTATGTAAGCCTTGGTGAGAGCCTAGCCAATAGAGTGTTGGTTAGAAAACTACTTGATTCTATCCCAGACAAATACCTGCAACTCGTTGCCTCCATTGAGCAAGATGCCGATATAGATGACATGCCGTTCGAAGAGGCCATTGGAAGACTCAAAGCTTATGAATCCCGCTTGAAGCTTCGATCCGATAATGCAGCCGCAAAAGCAAGTTTGATGCTGACCCGATCAGAGGACAAAATGGTCAGAAAACTCCCGAAAAGAACTCAGGAGGAAGAGGTCGAGGCTCATCGCAGAATGATTGAGGGGGTAGAAATGGAGGTCGAGGAAGAGGAAGTTGGCGAGGCAGAGGTGGCCGGGGTGGCAACTCGTCACGAGATAGCAGCCAGACCGTGGGAAGAGTCCAGACAAGAAACACATCAAGTATATCAATTATGATATTTTTGGACATTATGCATCCGAATGCCCTAATCCAAAATGTAACGAAGGCGATGTTCATCTCACTCAAGCAAAAGAAGATGAGACAACCCTGTTACTGACAGTGTATAGAGAAAGAGAAAAAGAAGTGGTACTTTTAAACGAAGATAAAGTATTTCTGGGCAACCACAGAAACGAGAGGGATACATGGTACCTAGACAATGGTGCCAGCAACCATATGACAGGGGAGCTGAGCTATTTTGCGGAGCTAGACGAAAACATCACGGGTCAAGTATGGTTCGGAGATGGATCCAGAGTCCAGATAAAAGGAAAAGGGACGATGTTACGTAATTGCAAAACAAAGAACAATTGATCATTGCAGATGCTTACTACATTTCAGCTCTCCGTAGTAACATTCTTAGTTTGGGCCAGATGAAGGAAGAAGGATACGACATCCAAATGAAAGAAAATTTTCTGAAGGTGCATGACAAATACGAGAGAATCGTGATGAATGTACAACGTTCATATAATCACATGTACAAGATCGTGTTGTACACAACCCAACCTGTTTGCCTCCATGCGAAACTAGATGATAAGGCTTGGCTTTGGCATGCACGCCTAGCGTATGTCAATTTCCATCTACTAGAATCCATGGTAGAAAAATAGATGGTACATGGAGTCCAAAAAATAAAGCACCCAACACACGTTTGTGAAGGGTGCCTTGTAGGCAAGCAAACCCGACAGTTATTCCCACAAGAGTCTCAATGGCAACTAAGCACTCCATTAGAGCTTGTGCATGCTGATCTCTGTGGCCCAATATCACCACAAACGATAGCAGGTAACAAATACTTTTTACTTCTAGTAGATGATTACAGCAGGCATATATGGGTTTTTCTGTTAAGACAAAAGGATGAAGCATTTGAAGCCTTCAAGAATTTCGAAGTTCAATGAAACTCAGTACAAGTTGAAGGGTCTACGTACAGATCGTGGAGGTGAATTTGTGTCAAAAGAATTCACGGAATATTGCAACAAGAAAGGTATAAGGCGACAATTGACCGCTCCATACTCCCCTCAACAAAACGGAGTAGCGGAACGGCGTAATCGAACCATTCTTGGAGCCACAAGGTCGCTATTAAAGGCAATGGATGTACCGGAGATGTTTTGGGGAGAGGCAGTGCGCCATTCTGTTCAGATTTTGAACCAGGTTCCAACGAAAGGGGTGAAGAATAAAACCCCATATGAGGCTCTGCATGGGAAGAAACCAACGTTGGATCACTTTAGGGTTTTTGGGTGTGTGGCCCATGCCAAAAGACTAGAAAATAAACTCTCCAAGCTAAGTGATCGTAGCATTGCTCTTGTGTATCTCAGCAATGAACCTAGGAGTAAGGCCTTTAGACTATACAGTCCAAGTGAAAAAAGAAAATATGTAGCTAGAGATGTTGTTTTTGATGAAGCCACGAAGTGGAAATGGGCTGGGAATCAAGATGAAACCCATGTGTTTGGTCAAGCTTGGGTCTGGTTTCCAAATGAAACCGCATATGTTGAAGACATAGAGAACCATGTGCAAGCCCAGGATGCAGAAGCCCAAGATGGAGATGGAAGCCCTAGTCTTCATTACGACTCGTTGAACTCAACACCACCATAGACGCCCATTGCTCAAGATAACTATGATTCAAACACACCAACGCCTCAGGGATCCAATACAACATCCATTTTATCTGATCCAAGACCAAGCAGATCAACATATGATGATACACTAGTTAGGGGTTTTCGAAAACTGAGTGATGTAATTAATCGATGTACTCAGTTAGAGATGGAGATGAAGAACTTATGTTTCCAGGAGAAGAACCCACTACTTACCTAGAAGCCTCAAACGATCTGGTTTGGAGAGAACCCATGAAGAAAGAGATTGAATCCAACATTAAAAACGATACATGGGAATTGACTAGTCTCCCTAACGATCACAAACCCATCGGATTGAAATGGGTTTACAAAGTAAAGAAAGATGCAAAAGGAAAGCTTGTCAAACACAAAGCCAAGGTAGTTGCAAAAGGTTATGTGCAAAAGAAAGGTGTTCACTTTTAAGAGGCTTTCGCACAGGTGGCTAGATTAGAAACGGTGAGGATAATCTTAGAATTGGCAGCAACTGAAGGCTGGAAAGTTCATCATTTAGACGTAAAATCCGCTTTCCTTAATGGTGTACTGCATGAAGAGGTGTACGTGACTCAACCAGATGGATTTATTATAAAAGGGAAGGAACACATGGTGTATAGACTAAAGAAAGCTCTTTACAAGCTTCGCCAAGATCCTAGAGCATGGAATGAATGACTGGATAAAATTATGAAGGATATAGGTTTTTCCCGTTGCCCTCAGGAGTACAGCATGTACAAGATTTAGAGGGCAAGTACAAATTTGTTAGATGGTGTGAACGTGGATGACCTAATAGTAACAGGATCAAGTAACGGGTTAATTGATACCTTCAAGAAACAGATTAAGAAAGTGTTTGACATGGGTGACCTGGGTTAGTTGACCTACTATCTAGGAATCAAATTAACACAAAAAGAAAGAAGTATGCTTGTTAGTCAAGCTGGGTATGCTGAAAAAAGTGTTACAAATGGCAGGTATGGGGGATTGTAATCCCACCAAATATCCCATGGAACCTAGATCGAGTTTGAGGAAAGATGAAGAAGGCGAATCAGTAAATGCCACAGAGTATAGAAGACTCATTGGAAGTTTAAGATATTTAACACACACTAGACCTGATCTTAGCTTCTCTATGGGTGTCATGAGTAGATACATGGAAGCTCCAAAAATGTGTCACCTTAATGTTTTAAAGAAAATACTAAGGTATGTTAAAGGCACCAAGGATTTTGGACATGTATACAAGACATGTGGAGATAAGAAGATAATGTGTTTTAGTGATAGTAGCCATGGAACAAATTTAGATGATAGGAAGGGTAAAACAGGAACCATTTTTTTCTTGTCTGGAAAAGCTATCACCTGGTCTTCACAAAAACAACAAACAGTGTCACTATCTTCATGTGAAGCTGAGTTCATGGCAGTAACAGAAGTTGCATGTCAAAGACTGTGGTTGAGAAGTTTAATAAAAGAGTTGACATGGTGGAAGGAAGAAGCAGTGAAACTCTTCGTATATAACAAGTCAGCCATAGCCTTAATGGAGAACCCCTTTTTCCATGGTAGGAGTAAGCATATTGACAGCAAGTTCCATTTTATATAGGGATGTGTTGAAAGAAAAGAGATACAAGTGAAGCATGTAAATGGAGAAGAACGTAGGGTATACCCTCTAACAAAAGCTTTACCATGTGTGAAATTTACAGAGATGAGGAAATTGATTGGAGTTGAAAGCATTACAATAAACTCAGAATTAAAGGGAAAATGTGTTAGGTTAATTCTTGCTTATAGACGTTGGAGGCTCATTTGAATAAAGCTGATATGGTCCTCTTAAGACCATGTCTTTAGGAGAATAAACTGGCATGTGGCCACACCTGCTGAAGCATCAGTTGATGCAAGTTTCCCGACAGTATTGTTAGTAGTTAGAAGTATTTAATCTCCCTGTAATTAGTTTATTATCAATGAAAAATACAGAACCAGTTTGTGTTCTAAATTCTC